CGACCTGGACACGTTTCGGCGCCATTCCTTAATCAGGAACTCTCTTGAAGGCCGATCGTTCGGGTTCAACTTAGCGCTGATGTAACCGATGCCTACGCGCAGGTCTGAGCTCACAACGATGGCTGCGCACTGGCGCGACAACCCTCGCAACTTAGCCGAAGACGTGCGTCCACGAGTCAAAATGGAAGCCACCACTTGGGAGTCTACCAAGTGCAGGACCTTGACACTTCGGAAGGCCGTTGTCTTGGCCCCATGTCTGAGCTGCCTTCAGTTCCAGCGCGTCGACGCGGAGATCCCGCGCCGCCTTCGGCCACGGGAAAGACAAGGTGGCCCCCCGCATCCAGAGGGCTGGGTCAGTGGGCGACCTGGGCCACGCCGTTGGCCTGAAAGGCACCCCGATGTCGAGACGGACGTCGCCCCCCGACTTCTCGGCTATCGCCCAGAAGATCTGCGCGAGCTTCTGGCCCAAGGCCGTCTCACGAATGGACTCTTTAGTGAACTCCACCCTTTCGCCCCACAGATCCTTGACCTCCAGCTTCACTGCGGAGCGGGAGAGGCCCCCACCCCCGATCTGCCAGCCCAGCTCACGCTTCAGCGCCAAGAAAAAAACAGCTGACGACGCTGCAAGCAAAAGCGTTCCCGATCAAGCAGCACCTGTCGGTCTCGACGCCGGAGCGGCTAGAGGCCAAACAGGCGACAGAGGATGCGCAATGCTCAGGGAAGCCCATCAGCACCTCCCGCTCGGTGGAACATAAGGACCTGAGGCCCCCGTTGGGCTCCTTAATAATGTGGACTAGCTCATACGGGTAGGGAGGATACGCATGTCGATGCGAGATCCACCTCTGGATGGCCTCGGGGCTCGTCGTGGGTACCCCCGCGGGCTTGCAGGGGGCGACCCTCTCTCGGCGTTGCAGTAGAGCGCGCGCCGGCCCTTCCGAGGACGCCCTCGCACAACCCGCGGGCACCCGAGAACCCGCCTGATCCTCGGGGATCTATGGCCTTGATGAGGTCGAAGTTGGCCTTGGGCTCCGCGAGCACCCTGGGGGCCTTGAGGACAGCCCCACGCCGCGAGCACCAATGCAAACGAGGTCAACGATTCTCCGTGAACAAGCAGTTACACACACTGATGGGCCGCACTTGCAGCACCCAGTTGAACTCCAGGAGGGGCCCTGCGCTCATGGAGAAAACATGTTCCACGATCCGGTGCGCAGGAGGGCTCATGACCTGGGTCAGGGTGCGCACTACCTTCGGGATGCGCACAACAAGCCCGTTGCGTGTACCAGAGCCCCTTGCCGGTCAGCGTTGACTCCGCTAACATCTTGGCACGGACTACCTCCTGCCAGAATCACAGCCACGATGCGATCCTGCTGGATCTCGTCCACAGGGCCCAGCTCGATCATTCCTGGCCAGCGCGAGCGCAAAATGCGCCTGGCTCTCTTGTCGACCTCGCTGCTCATGTAGCCCCCGAGAGCAAACCCTGCTCGCACAAGCGACGCAGCTGCTCCGCCGATGCCGTCAAACAGGCTCACGAGCTGGACGCGGGGCGGCTCCCTCCCGTCGGCGCAGGGCTCCGTCGGCAGCTCGACCACGCACTTGCGGCGATGCGGTGGGCCCACTGCCCAGGAAGGGCCCGGCGCCGTCTTCCAGCCCCGCGGCGGCACGCATACCGGCGCCGTCTTCACTGGCATCGGAGCAGGAGACGATCCCCGCGGCCCTCGCCCTCAGGTTCGACGCGGCCAGCGGCGGCAGCAAGCGAGCATGCATCAGCTCGTCCAGGCAGTCCCGAGGGGGCACAGACCGGCCCGAGCCAATCAGCTCCCACACGGCACTGAAGACCCCGAACAACGGCCGTCGGAATTCGAGAGCACGAATCCATCGGCCCATGAGGATCAATATCTGATTCCACGGTGAGCAGCCACGAGGTGAGGCTGTACAGCTGCACGTTCTTCTCCCGGTCGTTGGCCGCCCGTCCGGCGACCCCATCGACCTCGACCCCCATCCGGGTGACAAGGACCTGGCGCTGGTTAGCCTTGGTCTCGCTGATGCGGATGGCGCTGCGTCGATAACTCTCCCTCATGCGAGCCCGGAGGTTGCCGGGCGACCCGATCAGCGGCAAGGCAGCCTGACAGTCAAGGGCCTCGCCAGCATCAAATTCGTCGACGCAGGTACTCCACCAGTCCCGGGGGCCCTCGCAGGCCAGAGGGGCAGCCGCCGCAGTCGGCACAGGGCGATCTCAGCTCCACTCTCTCGCGGCAGGGGGGGCGGCCCCGTCGGGCTCATCCAAGAGGGCGACCCTCCGGTGGATGCCCTGGAAAATGGGCACGCTGCACACCCAGCACATGGGGGGCATTGTCATAGCCAGCCAGATCTCCATCGCATTCATCCCTAGGACGTGGCCAGGGACAAGAGTGCACACCGTCATATAGCCCAACCAAGGCTCTGGAATGCGATACATGAAGAAGGCCCCTTCCTGGTCATCCCCGCTCCAGAGCAGGACCTCCTCCGGCCCCGGCGAGACGCTGACCCGAGCTGGGGAGGGGGCCGACGTAGTCGAGTCGCCCGCCATCGGTTTCAAGTGCGCGTTGGTCGGAACCATGTTGAAAATCAATCCGGCGGCCCTGCTCGCATCGGGCCCGGGGGTGCCAGTCTTGGAAACTGCGAAAAGACCATTGGCGACCCTCTGTCCGCGTGACTAGGAGATCTTTATCGGGGGCGATAGGCTTGAGTAGCCCGATCTCCACCAGCTCCCCTGCGATCAGCCACCAGTCCTATCCGCTCGACGTTCACCTTGGCCCTCGGCGGCGCGGGCGGCCAGTCAGCCCCCGACACCAGGGAGAGCTCAGGCTTCGCGAGCAGGCCCCGCAGGTCCGGCCCCACATACTCGAGGACGCCCAGGCGACCGATGTCCTTGGCCTCTGGGAGCCCCGGCTCGGGCTTCAGGAAGTTGAGCGGCAGGGCCGGCAGTCCTCGTCGAGGTTGTAGCTGGTCCGACTCTTCAGCAGCTCCTGCGGCCAGTAGGGCATCTCGAACTCCTTCAAAGCATCGCCCACGTACCATTCAACCGTCTCACCGATCACGCGCAGGCTAGCTGCCTGGACCTGGGAACAAGCTCCAGCAGCTCCCCAACGGCCCTTACTGAGATGGCCCAAGTACAAGTAGTTAAGGCCCGTGACGCCGAGGAAAGTCCAGACCTGCCCCGCAATCTCCTGGGCTTCGGCCTGCAGGGACTTCGTCCACTTCTCTAGGTTGACGGGGGGTCCTTCTCCGTTGAGTAGACCTCGGTTCGTCATACCTTTTTCCGAAGCAAGTATAGGCGTCGGCCCCCCCACTGGCAGTGGCAGCACGTCTCGGCCAACGCCAGCCCCCGACAATTGTGGCGCGGCGCCCTTGGGAACACTTCTCAGGAAGTCACCGAACTTGCTCGGCAACTTTCGCGCGCGGACAAGGACCCCAAAGCCGATCTCCAGCATTGCCATCTTGGAGACTCTCGAACGGCATAGACGGGAAGAAGCATCGGGCTTCCACTGGCTCAGGGTCGAGGTCGCCGTAGGCTGTGCTGCCGACGTCCCCACCCCTAAGGGCATGGCGTCAGCACTCCCCCGCGCCCCCGCCTCAACGGGCACGGCGCTGGGGCGGGGCTCGCCCGCCGCGCGGGGCACGTCACAAGTGGGCCGCCCAGCTGCCGCCCCCGCACCGCGGGGCGCGACGTCGGCATCCCATCGCGCCTCCGCCGCGCCGGGCACGGCACAGGGCGACGACGCCACTGCCCCGCAGGGCACGGCGCCCCTCGGCAGCTGCTCCACCCTGTCCTCTGCTGTCGCACGCACCTCAGCGCTCCTGCCGAGTCGCCCGCCTCGGCGAGCTGTCCTTCTTCGGGGCGCGCTTGGGTCTGGCCTTGCACTTGAAGAACGCCGTCGCTATCCTTTTCTCGAGCTGCTTCCCGCCCCCCCCCTCGGCGCGGGGCGTGCTCGCCCGAACCGTCGCCCACGCTGACAGGGGCGACCCGTCCACCGCCTGGGGGCTCGCGGTCTGTCAGCGCGGGCAGGGCGCCCCCTGGCGGCGGCACCGTCTGCTCAGTCAACGCTAGCCTCTGGCGGCCAACAGGAGGCCGTAGTCGATCTTTATCTTGTAGTCCAGCTGCGGCAGCCGGCACGCCGACGTTCGCAATCGGCAAGGCTCTGGGGCCCGGGCCACCACCACGGCGCTGGCCATCGGGATGGGGCGGCGAGCCAATGCCGCCATCCCGGCCAATGTCCTAGCCGCGGTTGCCCAGCTCCCCGAGCAGCTGGGCCATCCTGACCTCCGCCGCCTCGATGCCGGTGACCACCTCCTCGTCCTCAACCGACAAGCTGAGGCCTCCGTTGTCAGGGGGTGTCAGCTCGAACCACTTCGCCGTTCGTGCGTGCCCGTCTCTGATCGCCTTCTGCAGCGCTTTGGTCCTGCAGAAGATGTAGTCCAACGCGTGCACCGGCCTGCCCTTGACGATCAGGTCGGCACACTTGCACAGCGCCCCCAACTCCCCGCACCTGTCCTCGCCGACCTCCTTGACCGAGTGAGCCGGTCGTAGCACCCGCAAGAGGAACTTCACTGCGACAGCCATGACCTGGGAAGCGTCGTCATCCCCCTCGTCTATGTCCAGGTACTTGGCCATGTTCTCCATCTCCTTCTCAGCTAGCCGGCCTGGTGACTTCTGCGCAATGCGTTTGTAAGCGAGCCTCTTCGCGGCGACAGGCCTCTCTCCCGCAACCTGCTCCTCATCGCTTTCGAGCGGGTCGCTGGGCTCCCTCTTGCGAAGGTAGTTCGCCAGCACGCGCAGCACCGCCTTCTCGTCTGCGCCAGCCTGTCCACCTGTCGAGGAACTGGGAGCAGCTGGGGCCAGCAACATCTGTCCGGTGATCCTGCTCTGAATCACCTCGCCAAGCTTCAAACGTTTCTTGCTAGCCTCCTTGCCGCTGGCCGCCGCTGCCTCTGGGTCGCAGCGCCTCCGGGCCTCGTCGAGCTTGGTCCGCAGCTCCGCCAGGCGCTCGCGGTAGCCGCCCTTCGCCTCCGGAGCGGTGGTCTCGGCGTTGCCCTCCAGGGCCTGCAGCTGGCGCTCCAAATCCTCGAAGGCCTCGTCGTCCGCCAGCTCCTCACCGTCGAGCTCGACGAGATCGTTCGATCCTTCAGCTGCAGCCGCCGGCCGCTTCCGCGGGGGGGAACCGATGGCCTCGCCGCGGGCGCTGCCGGCTGGCTCGGGCTCGGCCCCCGCTGCGCCCAACGCGGCCGCAGCAATATCTGGTGGCAGACCAGGGCAATCCTCGTATTCCTGCAGCATCGCCATGTGGACGTCAGCCGCTTCGGCTGGAGAAAGTCGCTGAGGGGCTCTCGCGTGCAGGACAGAAATCCCCGCTCGAGGCCCTCGATACAGGCAGGAGCTCACTGGCCCCTTGCACACATGCAGGTAGATCTTCCGATCACGACCACGGTGGGATTCCAGCGAGATACGAATCGGTCGTCCCGAACTACTCCATCTCGAGCGCCGTCCCACCTGGAAGGTCTGACACCACGCGCCTGATGCTGCCTATCACTCTCTCAACACTGGAACCATCGTCATGCTGGACAGTGTGGCTCAGGCACAGCCCGCGCGCTAGCTCTCTCGCCAGCTCCATCGGCAGGCCGTGGTGCCGTGGCAGCGAAAGGTGGGCGGCCTCTGGTTCGCACCTCTGGAATATGAGGCAGTGTGCGAAACTCTCGAAAGGATCCTATCCAGAACCCTGCCGCTTGAGCCGCACACCTACGGAACCGACGGCGGCGGACCCCACGAGGCCCAAAACAAACCCCCAACCCCTGAGGCGTTGTATATCATCAGCATCAGCATCAGCATCATCACCATCATCACCATCAGCAGCATCATCATCGTCATCATCATCATCAGCAGCATCATCACCACAACCGCCATCATCATCAGCAGCATCATCAGTGTCGTCAGCATCATGATCAGAAGCAGCATCACCATTGTAAGCGTTCATCCTCCCTCCTCCCTCTCCTCCTCCTCCTCCCTCCTCCCTCCTCATCTCATCCTCCATCCTCTCCTCCTCCTCATCCTCATCCTCATCCTCATCCTCATCCTCATCCTCATCTCATCCTCATCCTCATCCTCATCCTCATCCTCATCCTCATCTCTCATCATCATCATCATATCATCATCATCATCATCTCATCATAATCATCTCATCATCTCTATCATCATCCATCATCAGTCATCATCATATCTATCATCATCATCATCATCCTCATCATCATCATCATCATCATCATCATCATCATCATCATCATAATCATCATCATCATCATCATCATCATCATAATCAATTCAATCATCATCATCATCATCAATCGTCGTCGTCATCATCATCATCATCATCATCATATCATCATCGCATCAGCAGAATCACACTCATCATCATCATCATCATCATCATCATCATCATCATCATCATCATCATCATCATCATCATCATCATCATCATCATCATCATCATCATCATCATCATCATCATCATCATCATCATCATCCGCATGATCATCAGCATAATCATCAACAGCAAAAACATCCTCATCGTCATCATCACCTTCATCATCAGCAGCAGGAGCATCAACACCACCATAATCCTCGTCATCATCCTCACCATCATCGCTCATGCTTGTCCCACCCTTGTTCCATCATCATCATCATCATCATCATCATCATCATCATCATCATCATCATCATCATCATCATCGTCATCGTCATCGTCATCGTCATCGTCATCGTCATCGTCATCGTCATCGTCATCGTCAGCATCATCATCATCATCATCATCATCATCATCATCATCATCATCATCATCAAACCGTCACCGTATGAGTCCAACGTGTTGGGGCCCCCTGGGGTGCCCGGTTGGTTATCAGCCCAGCCAGGCGCCAAAAAGGTTGTGGCGGGTAACGTTTCGTTGACTTGTGGAAACCACTGTATCAGTACAGCTGCATGCGCACGCACACGCACACGCACACACACACACACACACACACACACACACACACACACACACACACACACACACACACACACACACACTTTTTTCTGGTCGTCGCGGCCTGGCGACTCACCGCTCGCCATGGCGTTGGGCGGACGGCCGGCGGCCGACAGGGCAGCGGGCAGCAGCGGGCAGCAGCGGGGGCGAACGACCTGCGGGGGGGCAGCGGGGAGGCGGCGGCCGCGGGGCGGGGCGCCGGGCGGGGCGGGACGGGCAGCGGAGGCGGGGCAGCAGCAGTGCGACGCCGCGCCGATGGGCGGCGAGCGCAGGCGCGGCGGGCCACGCTGAACTCAGGCGGGCGGGGCCTTGGCAGAGAGCCAAAGGCGGACGGCCGGAGCTGGAAAACCTACGGCGCTGGAGAGACCAGCAGGCCGGGGAGGGGCGGGCGGAGAGGGGCGGAGAGGTGCGAAACCCGAAGGGGCGAGGCCCGATCAGAAGACAGGAG